CTCAGCAAGTGCAGAATGGTGGTTGAATGAGCCTTTGGTCATTTAAAAGGGCGCTGGAGAAATTTACTAACAAGGTTGGACCTCAGAAGAGAACATCCCCATGGTTATAGCTGCCAGCTGTGTGCTCCATATCTGTGGGGGAAAGGGGGGGAATTTTCCGCAGGGGTGGGCAGTTGAGGCAGATCGCATGGCAGCCAGACCCCAGGGCAATAAGAAGAGCACAGCAAGGGGCGCTGCATATCCGCGAGGCTTTGAAAAGCCGTTTCAATAATGAGTCACAGTAATGTGAGCTGCTTGTCTGCACTGTGCTTTCCCAAAGCTTCACCTGGCTTGTATCACTGTCCCTGTAAAGCCAACCCACGCCCAAGCCCACTGCTTCTATTCAATAAATAACATTTATTTCTTGAATCCATTTACTTTATTTAACAGACAGAAGTAAAGAGGGAGAACAGAAAAAAAAAGTTAGCTTTGGGGAACAGGGGTTGTGAAGTTGGAACGGGAGAAACATTTTCAGCTGTGTAACGTAATACCGCATTCTAGACCATCAAAGGTCTGTGAACGGGCGCCTTCTGTCCCTTGTACCCTACCCGAGTTAAGTGAAAGGGATAATGGAATTTTTGCCCATGCCTCTTGGAATGCTTGGAGGAAGGTGATTCTGTGCCAGGTGATGCTGGCTGGCTGTCCACCAGGGTCTGCAGAGGGACTCTACCCTTCTGCTTCTGTTCCTGCAGTTCAACCAGACGCCTCAACATGTCTGATTGGTCCCTCATAATCTGAAGCATCTCATCCTGCGCCGCACACTCATGCTCATGGGAAGCTTGTCTGCTCTCCATGTCCACGTCTAACTTCTCAGACAGTGAAATCCTCCACACTCTCAGTTCTGTCTCAGCTGTCCTGGAGGCGTTCATTATCTCGGTGAACATGTCCTCCCGCGTTCTCTTTCTCCTCCTTCTAATCAGCAAAAGTCTGCTTTCAGGTGTTGATGACACGACGAAAGACACATTTCCAGCTGTCAGTCATGGGAAAAAAGAAAGGGACCATTGTACATGCATAAAATGTTTCCGTAGCAAGGCCATTTTCATAAAAAAAACCCTTTATTACAGTAGGTGCAAGCCATAATCAAAACTGTTCACTGTGCTGTTTTGCTGTTCCAGCCATGGTGAGTAGCCCCCCCCCCCCCCCCCCAGTCATGCGTGACCACACTTTTAATGAAGTTTATGGCAGGCTCATGTCAGGAGCAGAGGTAGCTAGTCGAACAATCGCCCCTCCCCATAGCACCAAAGGAAGCGGTTTACGAACGGGGTGGAAGGGTAACATTTTCACTCCCAAATTACGGAATCACATGTGGTGAGAAAATATCAGCCATTAAACTACTTGCCAACCCATGCCGAGCACAGTAAAGGCACATTAGTGGCCACATGGTTTGGTGATCCAGAATGTGGGGGGGAGGGGTCTACATGCTCTTTTTTTTCTTGTAAGAGCACTTTTAATGAGAACTTCCCCCGTTTCCTCTAGGCGACCCGATCTGATATCGGTCTCCTGAGGCTAACAGAGGCGGAAAGGAAGGAGATACTGCAAGCATCTAGGTATAGATCTGGTCCTTATGTTGCTATGCTGTGTACCGCAATGATGCCAGCAGAATTAATTCAGGAGTTGCACGAGAAAGTGTCCAAGAAATAAGACTGCCCTGCCCAGAAACCTTCTGCAAAGGATTGCAGAGTACCTCCATGAAAGTTTCCTAGAGATATCCATGGAGGATTCCCAAGCTATCCCAGTCCACATAAAGTCTTTTCCTGGGGCGTAGCTGGAGTGGCCTCTTGTAAGCAGAGAGCCACAGCACTTCGCTTTTTCGTCACAGCAAACATGCAATATCACCGAATGTGTGTGCCCGCTTAAGTTTAACGGGACTTGATTTGTAAGTAACCATATACTCCCCAGAGGTGCCTTCCCCGGCATCACGGTCAGCCACCATGATGTCCTACGGCCCACAGAGCTCCAGGGTTAAAAATATTTCCTGGCTCTCAGGGAGAATGGATCCACCGCTCGCCTGTCTCCCATTCTCCTCCTCCTCCTCTTCCTCATCCACCATATCGTCCTCCCTGTTGTCCCTAGACTCACACACCTCGGAGGTGTCCATGTTGCTTGTGGGGGTACTGGGTCACCCCCGAGAATCACTTGCAGCTCATTGTAGAACTGGCACGTGTGGGGTTCAGCACCAGAACGACTGTTCGCCTCCCTTGCTTTCTGGTATGCTTGGCAAAGTTTTTTTATTTTCATAAAGCACTGCTGTGTGTCCCTCGTGTAGCCCTTCTCCCCCATTCCCTGAGCGATCTTTGCATAGATGTCAGCGTTTCTTCTGCTGGATCGGAGCTCTGCCTGTACAGACTCTTCTCCCCACACAGCGATGAGATCCACCACCTCCTGTGCTGGAGTGCGTTTGGCATGTGTAGTCTCCATGATCAGCGGTGCTCAAGCTGCCATACTCCCAATGCTGATCAAACACGAAATGGGAAATCAAAAATTCCTGGGGCTTTAGCAGGGGAGGGGCTGTTTCCTGTGTACCTGGCTGCAGTGCAGCAGAGTTGAGAATGATCTACAGAGCGGTCACAGATGAGCATTGTGGGACACCACCTAGAGGCCAATTAAGTCGAATTACCCAACGCTGCGTCTGCACTACTTCACAGTCGACCCATGAAAATCGAATTAAGTGCTGCGCCTCTCGCAGAGGTCGATTACAGAAGTTGACATTAGAGGCGATTTAGGTCAGCATAAAGGACCCAGTAGTGTAGACACATACATTAACAGGTCAATTTAAGGCGGCTTCCTTCAACCTAACTCTGTAGTGTAGACCAGGCCTAAGACAATAATTCTGAGAAATGCAGACTTCCCCATTCTCCTCCGAAATCATACTGACTCTGAAATCTATCACTAACATTTTGGTGGTCATTAGCTATTTCACTGATGACCACTTAATCAGGAACATGCTAATATGCTTATCCCACAATCCCAAACTGTCTTGACACACCTTCCCGGACTCCAGAAACCCTAAATGTCCCCCAGTCTAGTTGCCAAAACTTGAAGTTTCTTTCAACATCCCTCTCCAAAACAATTTATATAAATTAATCTGTATAGTATAAACATTACAGTACATTGAAAACTTGAGAGCCCAGAGAAAATGAGTATCAATTAACAATACTGTATTATTTAATGTAATAGGTAATGCAATCAAAATATTTTATTTTAAATCTCCCAGATGTTGCCACAAAATTTCCTGTTTTAGAGAGTCACCAAAATGAGACTTGCTGGAATTGATCTGTCATTTATTTAACACTTGTTTTTAAAGTAATCTATTCAGACATAGATTAGATTTGAAAATAGTTACACAAATAAAACACTAAGGGAAGCTGATCAACTGTGCAGTTGTTCAATCTGAAACAAGATCAAATGAATGCCATCCTTCATTATCAGATACTTGTGCTAATGTACCACAGTTTTGACAGCAGCTCCACCTGTTAGCTGTAGGTCATACATTTAAGCATAAATGCTACCAATAAGTATTTTCTCTTTTAAAGCATCTTTCATCAGCAGTGTTCAAACCAAAATTTGCACAGGAACAGCACAAAAGCTTGCCTCAGTACAGAGAAATGACTAAACAAAAATAACTTTAAAATACAAGAATGAAAAATTTATCTGGTAATTAAGCAAGAGAAGAAAAGGATAATCCGTAGGTTTCCAATAGGCACTCAAAGTTTTACATGGTGGCTTTATCCTTCATAAATATAATCTGGCTGCAGCAACCCAAACCACAAAGCTCTTGCCTGAATTATAAAATATCTTTGGGCATTTACATAAGAAACTGAAGGCAAAAGCTACATCAATAAGGTTCTCATTTGTAAGTGTATTGCCTATTACAGGATAGCATTGTATTTCACCCCTTTTGGGGGATCAGGAAGATCTGTTTTCCACAGAAATAATACCAAAACTCATGTTACAGTTGTATTTTTCTATATGGAGTGTGTGTGTAGGTATTTCTTTGGGAAGGATTAATCGTAACTGGTTTATAAGAAGAATTTTATTTCACTCCCAGAACTCAAAAATAACACAAGCCCTTCCCCCCACCCCATCCCCTAAATGTGATTCAGTTGTTGAAAAACTATTCACTTTCTCAGGGAGGTCTGGGTTTCTTCCAACAGATCTCCATGCTCTGAGTCCTACACGCCTTTGCTTTTGTGATGAGACTACCAACTAATGGCTGTTGTGAGACGCGAAAACCTGCCTCCACATGAACAGGGCAGCCCAAAGGGCACTGGGACACAAAGCAACAACACCCTTTCAGTCACTGCTGGCCTGAGTCAGCTTTAGCGCTGTGGTTTAGAGGCACCACAGCGATAAGCAGAGTCAGATGATTTATAAACTAACCCCGGGGTGAAACGTCCCTGCGCTGCCAGCACCCCCAGCTGCTCCGCAGGAACCGCCCCGTCCCTCACGTCTGCTCTGCCGGGGTGCAGGAGCCCCAGAGCTGGTCGGCTCTGCAGCGGCACTGCCTGGGGACCGGGACGGCCAGGCACGGGCCCTGCCCTGCAGCGATGGAGTAGGGTGACCAGATGTCCTGATTTTATAGGGACAGTCCCTTTTTTTGGGTCTCTCTCTTATATAGGCTCCTATTACCCCCCACCTCCATCCCGATATTTCCCACTTGCTGTCTGGTCGCCCTAGGGGAGCCACACTCGGCTCAGGCTCGCTGGCCGGGACCCCACCGCCGTCTGCCCCGGGGGTGGGGGGCGCGATACCTGTCCCAGGCAGGTGATGCGGGGTTCGGCTCAGGCTCGCTGGCCCGGTCCCCGCCGCCGTCTGCCCCGGGGGGGGGCGATACCTGTCCCAGGCAGGTGATGCGGAGTTCGGCTCAGGCTCGCTGGCCGCGCCGGGCGGGGGGGGGCAGGCGCCAGGCTCGCCCGAGGCGGGTTCGAGCCGGGCTCGCCCGGGACGCGGTGCCGCCTCACCTGCCGAGCGGGCGCTTCATGGCCGGCTCGCCGTGGGGCCGGGCCAGGCGCAGGCTGTGCCTCAGGCTGCAGCCCGGCTCGGGCGGGCCGGCGGGGCGCTCATGCTCCAGCGTGACGGACTCGTTCCGCTTTCTCATCCCGCGGCCCGGCGGCGGCGGCTCGGCCCAGTCTCTCGCCCGCAGCACCGGGGGAGGCGGCTCCTGTCACCGCGCTCAGCCCCGGCCCTTCCCTACATCGCACCGGCGGCGGCGAGACCGCGACCCGCCCTGCCCCGCCCCCGCCAATCAGAGGCGGCGGCGAGACCACGTGACTGCGTGACCCGCCGCCAGGGCGGCCCCAGCGTCTCCTGCCCACACCAAAGATGGCGAGCTAGCCCCTGGCGGCCATCTTGAGTGCGGGCACGCGGGCACAGGCCCACGGCGGCCATCTTGAGTGGGGGCAAGCGGGCACCTGCCCCTGGCGGCCACTGTGGGGGGTGGTATCCAGGCCCCTGCAGGCATCGCCCTACAGGCAGTGCTAAGGAAGATCCCTTCCAGCGTCTGGGCACCCCTGTGCCGCCCTGGCAGAGGTCACTGGGCACATGGGGCAATGCAGGCGGCTCTTCCCTCCCACCCACTGTGTCCGCAGGGAGAAAGCTGCCCAACCTGCACCAGGGCCACTGCCCTCACTTCCACTTCAACAGAGCCGCTATGGAGACGACCCGAAGAGAAAATGTCAATCCAGCGTTCTTCAGCCTTCCTTAGCACCCACCTTACAGTGCCAGGGCTGTACAATTTCGGATTTGCATTGATGATAACAACACATTATCCAGAGCAGGCCACCTTCCTCATGCCTCTCCTAGTTAAATCACACATCAACCCTTCTGAGTAGGAAAATCACAGCATTCCTCCCTAAATACTGAGCCCCCATGACTTCAACCCTGGGCCTGAATTTTCAGAAGTGCTGACCAGGTCCAACTGTTCCCCCACCCACAAAAAAATACCCTTGTCTAACCTCAAAACTCTGGGAAGAGGTCTCTGTAAAGTCTCTCTCTCTCCGTCCACCCCCCACACACACATCGCCTTTAGGCTAAAATGAAATCTGGGAAGTTTCACCCAAAAAGAAAAATGTTAGAATATTTTATGAGTCAGTTAAAACTGCAATGAAAATCTCTCTGTAATACTGTAGCATTCACTACCCACAACATATACAATAAAAAGGGAATAAAACACTGAAAGAACAACAGAAGTAGCATTTCTTGCACACTGAAGTCTTGCATCAGTCTTCACTACGGAGGATGTGGGGGAGATGTCCAGAAAGACTGGCTCGGATGTGGGTAACAAATGAAGTACTGTCCCACATTTGTGTGTTAATAGAGGAGGTTTTAGAACAAACTGAAAAACTACAAAGTAATAAGTCACCAAGATCAGATGGTATTTACTTAAGATTTTGAAAGGAACTCAGATATGAAATTGGAGAAATGGTAATTGTAGCATGAAATCAGGCTCTGTACCTGATGACAGGAAGGTAGCTAACATAACCCCAATTTTTAAAATGGGCTCCAGAGGAGATTACAGGCCAGGGAGCCTACCTTCAGTAACATGCAAATTGGTACAAACTATAGTAAGGAACAGAATTATCAGACCTATAAACATGATTTGTTGGGGAAGAGTCAATACAGTTTTTGTAAAGGGAAATCATGCCTCAGCAATCTACTACAATTCTTTTAAGGGGGGGAGGGGTCAACAAACATAGACAAAGGTCACTGACCCAGTGGATATAGTGTATTTGGACTTTCAGAAAGCCTTTGACAAGGTCCCTCACCAGAGGTTCTTAAGCAAAGTAAGCAGTCATGTGATAAGAGGACCAGTAACTGGTTCAAAGATAGAAAACAAAGAGTAGGAATAAATGGTGAGTTTTCACAATGGAGAGAAGTGAACTACAGGGTCTCCCAAGGATCTGTACAGGGACCTGATGTTCAATATATTCATTAACGATCTAGAAAATGTGGTGAACAGTGAAGTGGCAAAGATGCAGACAATATATCATTATTTGAGATAGTTAAGTCCAAAGCTGACTTTGAAGAGTTACAAAGAATCTCACAAAACTGAGTGACTGGGCAACAAAATGGCAGATGAAATTCAAAACTCATAAATGCAAAGCAATGCACATTGGAAAAAATAATCCCAAGTATACATAGACAATGATGGTTCTAAATTAGCTGTTACCACTCAAGAAAGAGATCTTGGAGTCACCATGGATAATTCTATTAAAACTTCCACTTGGTGCTCCCCACAGTCCCCTGGTCAGCTAGAGGAGGGGGAAAAGGGTAGGGGGACCCAGGCCCTCCATTTCCACCAGGTCCTGGTTCAGGGCCCACAGGGGAAGGGGAGGCTCAGTCTCCTCTAGCTGGTACAACATGCCAGCCTCCCCTGGGCCACTTCCTATTTCTTTTGTTTTCTCTTCAGCTTGGGGCATGGTCCTAGCACTCAGCTTCCCTCTCAGCAGAGGATTGCTCACACAGTCTCAATCATTCAGACAGTCAGTTGGGGCTTCACAGCTCACATTTTAGTACCCAATTCATTGTTCCCCCTTGTCAGAAAGAAGGTGGAGGAGAAAAGTGGTCAAGCCCTTAGCCTCCCCATTGGGTCTTACCCACAGTCCAGTCCAGTCCCTTCCCCTGTAGATCCCTCTATCCCAGAAGCTGCTACCTTCCTGCAGATAGTTTCTCCGTCACCCTCCCCCTGGTTGCCTCTCAGAGTCCCCTTTTAAGCAGGCCCTTCATTTGGAGCATGGTCTGCAGCTGCTGAGGGGCAGGGCCTTCTTGGCCCAATACTGTTCCACAACTCCCTTACCCTTAGTGTGGGGTCTGTAAATCCCATCACCTTTACCCTTTCACGCAATACAAAAACCAGGGGTCACCTGAGGAAATGAATAGGCAGCAGGTTTAATACAAACAAGAGGAAGTACTTTTTCATACAACACACAACTAACCATGGAACTCATTGCCACGGGACGTTATGATTGCCAGAAGTGTAGCTAGGTTCAAACAAGACCTGGATAAGTTAATGGAGGATAGGTCAATCAATGCTTATCAGCCAACATGTTAAGGAATGCACCCCTTGCATGGGGAGACCCTAAACTGGATTACCAGAAGCCAGAAGTGGAAGAGGGGGTGAATCATTCCATAAATGCCCTGTTCTGTACACTCCCTCTCAAGATTTGGTGTGGGCCACTGTCAGAGACAGGATACTAGCCAAGATGGAGCAGGGTTCTTCTTGTTCCCTGCACAATCATTAAGCATCACCTTCCACTTTGTATTCCTACCATTATCTTTCAACATTGTAGCCGTGTCGGTCTCAGGATATTAGGAGAGACAAGGTGGGTGAGGTAATATCTTTTACTGGACCAACTTCTGTTGGTGAGAGAGACAAGCTTGTCTCTTTCACCAGTATTCCCTCACCCACTTTGCCTCTCTAATATCTTTCAAATCACTTTGCCTGGTAATACAAGTTTCCTTGTCACAACTGGAGACTTTATATCCCAGTTAGCTCTGCAGCTATCTGAAAAGTTACTGCATTTGCATTAAAGACTTGTGGACATATTTGTCACTTGTTTTTTTTCCAGCACAGTTAAATTTTAACACAGCAATCTTAATATAGATTTGGAAAAGTTACGCATATAATCTTGCTTTGGGCATATTTTAACTACAGATGATAAACAGCTAAAAAAAGACTACTTTCCTCCTCTCCTGTCTCGTTCTTATCATACAAATAAACAAAAAAGACCGTTTAAAATTATATGAAGATTCTTTTAAAGAGATTGTCTTCAATGCACTTCTCCCAGCATTGCCTCGAAGAACACAGTTTAGAAGGATCTCAGGATTCTCAACAAATATATCTTGTCAATTCTAATTGTTTATTTGGTATCGCACCATATCCAGAATCAAAAGTCTTTGAGACTTTAGGGAGGTGTTCATAGTAGTCAAACTACCGGTTCAGTAGTTTTCTATAGGCCCACTGCCATTATCTAGGCAAAAATTTCTAAAATAAAAGTTTATGTGACAATAGTATTCCAGATTAAAGACTTCAACAAGAACCAGATCGGTGAACCTTTGCACCCAAGCTGATAATCTTGTAGGACCTTAGAGCTAAATAATCACAGAATTCATCCTCTGCAAGGATGTGTTATCACATTCCGCCGTGCAATCCAGATCAATGAGGGGTTGTGTCACCACGCAACTTGGGGTGCCTCACAATGCTTTGCTCTTGTAACTTCCAACCTGGGCCACTCTCAAACAGCAGGTCACATCCTGAGTGTCTGTGTATAGCTGTAGCCTGCCAACTATACACCAGCCATGCTTTGGCTTCCAGGTGCCTTGGTTACTATTTGCAGGATGACCCCAATGCACGCCCAGTCCTAAATTTTCCTCAAAAACGGCTTTTGTGATCAGTTCATATATTAGAGGTCCATTGCCCCTGTAAGGGGGGGTCAATGTACAATGGTTTGCTCCTTTAATCTGAGTTACCAAACAATTCATTTTAAACACAACCCTGGATTAGTTTTGATTAAAGAATAAAACAAGTTTAACTATAAAGAGATTGATTTTAAGTGAGTACAAGTCCAATATATTAAAGTCAGAAATAGTTTCAAGAGAAATAAAGATAAAATCCTTCCTAGTAGCTAAGATTTAATAAACTGGTTCAAGATAAAAACCTTACCACATGCTCCTAGCAACATGGCTGACTAAATTCTCAGGTCAAACCTCCTCCCAAAGTCCAAAGGCTGGTTGATTTGTCTTGGTAAAAGACATAGTGAGAGATAAAGAAAGAGATATTACCCAGGGTGTTTTGCCCCTCACTTTTACAGTCCAGTCACCCTTTGAAATGCATTTTCCTGAGTGTTCCCCCTAGATAAAGTTCCTTCCAGCTGCGAGGATGGAGCCATGGAGTCTCATGGGGAATGGGGGACAGAGGTTCTATGTTGTTGTTGTTCGTTAAAATGCAAATTGATCTGTTCCTGGCCCCTCTTCACTGCCAAAGAATGGTCACTTGACTGGTGATTGCCAATCAGCTTTGATTGCACCGGGCTAAAGGTGTCAGCTTGTCCTTTGTCTTTGAGAAACAGGTTTACTCCCTCCCCAGACTTGTCTGGTAAACACATTTCGGTCATAATTTTAGCTTATGTTCCTCACTTTGCATATACTGTTGCTACACACATTTCAGCATGATTATGGGTCTGTGTCTGTCACAGAGGTCACGGAATCCATGACCTCCGTGACCTC